TTGAACTTCTAATTAATTTTGAATGCTCTTTGAAAGTTTAATTTGAAGATGTACTTTGGTATGTGTCTGTGATTGTGGTATTTCAGTATATAATGTTTCAATTCACAACCAAGAAATTAATCTTTCCCAGTATATCCTTCAGTTCCCCTTTAATCTTGTGCAATGGAGTATGACAACATTTTTCACTCTGATATTTCCTGTATGGAAGGGTCTCAATAAGATATAGACCTCTGAGACACTCTTGGAGAATTACATCCTACATACTAGAAGAATTTAATCACTTAAATTTTTGGACTGGATTTAGACTTTAAATCTTCTCACAATGTAAGACGGTAATCACAAAATACAAGAGATATTTTGGGAAAGAGCAAAATAATTTTCTCTTAAGTACATTGTAACCAGACATTTTGATGTTTGTTTTAGGTTGTTTTGTTTGGGGTTTCGGTTTTTTTTCCTCATTGAACCAAAATTCCAGGCAAACAAATTTCCTTTTGTGGTGATTTTCATTTGATGAATTTGTCTATTCTGCTATACAAGATTTAATCTATACCACTCTGAACTTGTCCCCCTTTTACTGAAAGTGACTGTTTCTAAAAAACAAATTATTTTTCTTTTACTTTTATCTGCTTCCATTCTTTTTGTGATGAGTTGGCCGCAGCCAGCAGCAAAGCACTCACAGAAACTTTTTTTCCCCTACCCTAGTGTTGGAGAATGGTTGCAGGAGAGGGGGTCATGGATCAATGGAACTGTTCTTCATTGATACCTCTAAGACCCCAGAATCAGAATCAGGCTGTGTCTGGCCTGGGAACAGAGCTTGGGAAATAGGCTCTGTGTCTAGGCCTGGGAAACTGCACAACGTCTGTCTAGGCCTGGGAAACAGTACAAGGTTGGAACGAGATAATAAGGATGAGCATATCCTTGGAGATACGCTTGTGCAAGAGTAGGCTGTATGACAAGATATGCCCAGAGAAGGTGGTACGTACCATGTCGATGTGACTAGAGATGAGAAACTTGGCTTAAGAAACCTGGCTATAGTTGTAAATGCACGTAGGCTAAACAGAACAGAGACCTTTGTAAGGTGATCAATGAGAGCTGTTGCTGACTTTGCTTGTAGCAAACCCGATATAAACTGACAGGATTTTTGAATAAATGAAGCTTGCTTATCAATCATACTGATTGTGCTTGTCTTCCCTCCGCCTGCAGCTTCACCCTAGCCCAACTAAGTAGGACAGGGAGAGAACAGAAGGACTGAAACTAATAAACTCATGGATCAAGATACAGAAAGTTCAATAGGCGAAGGAGAGAAAAAAAAAGCTACACAATGCAATCTAATCATTTGACATCTCCCATGAGCATACTGATGCCCAGACAATCTGCACATAATGACCACTTTGGAAACCAAGGAACCATCTTTCTTCCTCTAGCCCAGTTTTAATGCTAACTATGATGTTATATGCTATGGTATTTCCCTTGGAAAAATTTGGGACAGCTGTCTCAGACAACTATCAACATTTTTCTGACACAGAGCTTACTCTCTTTGGAGGGATGGAGGTGCATGACATGAAAGGAGAAACCACTGATGCTGTGCAAATGATGTTTAACTGTAGTCAAAATATTGGTGCATTACTGATGTGCTTTGAACCTGATTAGCATAAACTATTTGCTAATCAGGATGCCTTGGCAAGAACAGAACTGAAGATTGAATCAAGACTAGCAACAAGAAGATTGAATCAAGGTTTCTGCAAGCAAGAGATGCTGCAAAATATATAAGTTTGTTTATGTGACAGTTAACACAATCATTGTAGTGAAAAATTACTAGCCTTCCTAGAATAGTATATAGGCATATGTAGTCCACAATAAAGACGGATTCTGACCACCTCTCAGTCTCCCTGCTTCTCTCCATTGCTGATATATTAGCAATACTGATTTAAGCTCAAATCCAACCCACAGCTCTACAAGAGTTGCTATGAAGATAACTCAATATCAGCCAGATGCTGTACAGTCTTAGAAAAGCTTGACCATTTTCCAGGCATGTTATCTATTGTTCTGGTTTGAAAACAAAATCAGTGAGAGACTCTGAGTCAGAAATGCAATTTATTGGGAAAAGGGAAAAGATACAAAATACATGCAATGATACAAAAGGAAGACCACTGACAAAGTCAGAATACAACCTGACAACTCTTTGGCCATTTTGTTGGTAGCAATCTAAATTGGAGTGGCTGCAGTCCTCCTGGAGTGGCAGATGTGGTTTCTGTTTGTGCAGTGGTCCTGTAGAAAAGGTGTAGTTGGTCCAGTGGAAAACCCCAGCTGTGTCCTCTTGGAAACCTGTGGGGTTTTTTAGCCTCTCTGTCTAAAAAATCCCAGTACGTATCTAGGTGGGAATGCTTAGCTACTGCCCCCTGGGCAGAGCCTCTCACCATGGGCTGATGTCATTCTGAGTCATGAGCTGGGTCCTTGACTGTCTGTTAAACAGAAAATGGCTCCTGGAGGGAGTTATCTCTGAGCCACGTGGCAAGATAGATGGGCCTATTAACAGGAGATAAGGAAAACTGCCCAGAGGCAACTGCTACACAGGTGGCAGTAAGAAAACATCTTGCCTCTCAGTCTCGGACACCTACCTATCTTCTCTTTCCAGTTTCCAACAAAAAAACACACCCTGTTGTTTGTTGCAATCTTTGGCTTTCTAAATTTTTTGTTCCAGAATTGAGAGGTAAGGAGGTCTTATATGTTCACAGTTTATAAAGTTGTGATATTTCAAGATTAGACTAAAGACATTTAATAAGTTAGATTTGTTTCAAATAAAGTTTGTTTCCTCCAGAGCCTATGCTTGATTGGAGGAGCATTGATAACCACAGTGTTGGAAATGCACAAGTACTTTAATAAAAGCTTCTATACTGTGCAAATTAGTGCCTAAATTGCATCAGCCTCTTTTACCTACTGTTAATCCAGTGTTCTTTGCTTTTTTTCTATCAGATGGAATTAATGGTAATTCAACAAAACAACAATAATAGACCTGCATTTTTTGTGTTCTACACCTCAGCTTCATCAAAGGCTTTAATCTAAAGCTCCACCATGGGAAGTCTCACAGAGCTAAAATGGAATGTCTCCTAAGAGCTTCTAATTTCAAACTCAGTTCATATCTCATAAGCACTCTTTAGTGATTTTTATTTTATTTTACTTTATTTTATTTTTTGGGTTTTTTTAGGACTAGGGTGTTTTGAGGTTTTTTGTTTGTCGTTTTTGTTGTTGTTGTTGTTTGTGTCTTCTTTCCTTCCAATGATACCTTAAAAAGAACTTTGCAATTGCTTTGGAAAAAATTAGGCTTAGTTCACAAAGCTCAGTTTTTATGGGCTGTGAAGAGGGACAGAAAGAATAATTTTAGAAGGGAAAATAGGGGGTGACCAAAGTAGTGGTTGAATGTTATTTCACATTCATTGCTGCAGAGATGGATGCAATTCATAGGAGGAGCTGCAAAAGTCACTAGTCGATAAAGCTATTTAATTTCATTCTACGTTTCTGGGTTCTTAGGGACAGGGAAACAGAAAGTCCCTTTATCAGCATGGGATTGCCTGTGAATTTTTAGGTTGAGCAGACCTTCATTTTGAGGACAATTACCTCTGAAATGTTAATGTTGGTAGGCTAATAGGCAACCTCACAATTCTGTAGGTCTGATACTATGGGAATACTTAAATAAGTAGTCGATTTGCATTTTGATTAGATACTTTGGTTACAACTTGCTTAATTTTTCTGGAGGATCTGGTGTTTTACAAAAAAGAGGTCACCAAAACATTGCACCCACCAGCCCCTCCCATGTCTCTGTTTCATGTGGAGAAGACATAATAGAGAATCCAAGAAGATTCTGTGTTACCTTGCAGCTGAAACAGCATCCCAGGTTTCAGTTGCACAGAATTTGTTACCTTGTACTCATTTTGCATGCACATATCTGCTCATTACCATGTTCTTAAATCCTTTTTACTTATCTATTCATTCCAGGGCGTGTAATCTCAAGGCAAGGCTTTGCAGCAGGAATGAACTTAATTCAAGCATTTTGTTCACAGTGGATCAATTACAATATTCATTTAATATAAAAGTTTGCATTCAAAGAACATTAAAGTTATAAATTAAATTAATGGGTTCCGATGTGCTCATAATCAGACTTCTCATAACATGCAGCTCTACAGTGTAACAGAGAATGACACTGTGTATTAAGACCAGGGTAAAAAACACAACACTGTGAAAATACTTCAATGGATAACAGTAGAAACGCTACAGGAATTTATCTAAAGGGAAAAATGAAGTGAAAAAATGCATGACTGTGTGTTACTATTACAAGAAAGTGTCCTAGCTGATAGGATTTGGAGCTGTGGCTTGAGTATGCCCACGTTTATTCCTGATACTGCTCTGCTGGATGAGCTACCAGCTTGCTGTGCCTCCATGTCCTAGGGTGACGTTATGGTGTTTTTATCTCCAATCGTGTGTTCTGTTTACGTTTGATATTATGTTCTGTGCTTTCAGAACTGACTCAGAAAGTGAAGGTTTGTTTTGCTTTGTTATCATCTGGTTCACCTCCCCCCATGGTCTGCTGTCTAGAAAAGGCTAGGGCTGGCTGGCTGGCTTTGCTTTGCTTGCTTGCTTGCTTGCTTGCTTGGCTTGCTTGCTTTGCCTGCTTTCTTGCTTTGCTTCCTAGTTAGGTTAGCTAAGCAGTCCAATTCTTTCCCTGGACTGTTGCTTTTTCCTTTCCTCTTTCTGAATATCATCCAACCTGCTCTGGACTAGGATCTGGGAAACACCAAGGAACACCAGGAGCCTGCATTTTGTGATCTGCAGCAGCCATCCCCAGTGCTGGAGAGCAATCCCCAGCATCCAGACCCGGGCGACCACTCCCAGGAAAGACCTTCTGGATTTGTTCATCTCTTCAGAGTGGTGAAAGAGTTTTGTTGTCATCTGGTGTTGTTAATTGTTTTGGTGCTGGGGAGTGCTTTGTTCGTTGAATAAACAGGTTCTTTTCCACTTCTCTCTCAGAGGAAATTTTTCCCTGAACCAGGTGGGTGGTGAGGGGCCGTGGGGGTTTATTTCCTGGGGGCTCCTTTCAGAGGGTTTTCCCCAAATTTGCCCTAAACTAGGACACTCCATTTCCCTGTCCATTGAATAAGGTCATGGTATTTTTCCAAGAACATTGTAAATGTCTAGCGGGCAGCTATTTCTCACATATCAAAACTCACTTTTCCACCAAATCCCAAGTGATCTTCCCCAAAAAAAGGAAGAAAAGAAGAACAAAAAAGAAAAATTAACTTTAGTAGCGCTTCAAAGCAGACAATATATCCCTTTTTTTGTAGGCAGATTACAGCTTTTTTGCTTCTGTATTTCTTTCCGGCTTGTGCCAACTCTGCTGTTTTGTACTGTTAAGTGAATGCAAAGTTCTTGTGTATTTTAATATCTTTCCTGAAGGCATAAGAAATCAGAGCTTACATTTTACATAAAACTATTATTTCTTTATGAAATAATTTACAAAAATACAATTTCTTTGAGAAAGTCAAAACAACATCTAGTATCTTGGGCTAAACATACATGCAAATGGTGTGTGTATTTTTATGAGGAGGTCATTGTCTCAGTCTTCACCTCATGCAGTAAATTTACTGTATTGTATGTATTAGGTATGATAAAGTAAATGTGAAATTCATGCCTGACCAGGTATCACATAGAATGAAAAAGCAAACACTAGATTTTGTTTCTGTCAAAAATAAAGCATCTAGAAATAGAGGCTTTCTCCAAGACTGCAGATTTCTACCTTAGAACCTCTGAAGCAAAACATGCACCAACAGAAGCACAAGGGCAGGAAAGCAATGGCCTCTCTATATCCCCTTGGAGCTAAATTTTGAACTCAAATAAATTACATCTATCAAAGTATGGGCAGCAGCTTTGCATATGCTGTTTTATCTCAGTGTAGCTTATGGATGTGGGTCTCAGTGTTTATTACCCATTTTACTGTGCCATCCCATTTTCTATGTGAGTGGTTTCATAATGTCTGCATGTGAGCACAGTTTGTTTGAAGTAAATGCCTAAGCTAAATAACCTTACTAAAAGGGAAGGGAAATTGGATTGATTTGGGATGGTTTCCATTCTCTCTTTTGTGAAGTTTTTATTACAATTTGCTTCCTGTTTTCATCTCTTGTAAGAAATGTTTTAACCAAAGTAATTAAAATCTATGATCACATAGTCTAAGATTGCTCATAACCACTACAAGTGCCTAGAATTACTTTTTATTACAGATTTTTCAGAATTTCCAGAAGTTAATATATAGATATGTAAAATATAATTGCTATATATGGAGCTATATGCAAATATTCTTATTTACTCTAATAAGAAATGTTTTGTATGGAAAGTAGAAAACACTGCTGGTTTTAACTGTTTTATACATTTGCCTTCAAGCAAATTCTAGGTCCAAGATTTCTTGAAATCCCTGAATACTGAGATGTACATTGAAATCAGTTTCTTAAGTAGTGAAAAAGTTGTATTAATAACAACTTGAACTTAGGTCCCTTGTACTGAATACCTTTTGCATCTGTTGTTCACCAGTGAAAGTGAGCTAGCTGGGGACAGCAAGATTGGAGGCAGCCTAGACTGCAGTGATCATGTATTAGTGAATTTCATAGTCCTGGGGGATATAGGTCAGATAAGGAATAAAATTAAACCCCTGAACTCTAGGAAGTTTACGAATTCTAGCTGAAAGACTTTGGAGCTCAACCATAGTCTCAACAACTGCAACAAGACTTCCAGTCTTCAATGGCAACATCTCTTCCCACACCTTCCGAGTGGATGGACAGGAGGATGGGGAATGAGGGAACAAAGTCCCTCACACTGAATGTAAAAATCAGGTTCATGAACACCTGATGAGTCTGAATGTTTATGCAACCTGGTGACATGTATCCCAGGCTCCTGAGGGAGTTGGCTGATGCAATTGCCAAGCCATTCTCCATGCTATTTGAAAATTCATGGCAGTCAGGTAAAGTCCCATGTCACTGGAAAAGGGGAAAAATTGTACTCATCTTTAAAAACGGAAAAAAAGTTTGACCCTGGGAACTACTAGCCTGTCAGCCTCACCTCTGTTCTGGGAAGATCCTGGAACAGGTCCTCCTAGAAGTTATGCTAAGGCACATGGAGCTGATTTGGGACAGCTGCAAGCTTTACCAAGGACAAGTCCTGCCTGACCAACCTAGTGGCTTTCTACGATGGAGTGATTACATAAGTGGACAAGGGAAGGGTACAGGTGTCATTAATCTGAATTTCTGTAAAGCCTTTCTCATTGCCACAACATCCTTCTTGCTAGATTGGAGAGAAAGTGATTTGATGAGTTGACTGCTGGATGGATAAGAAAGTGGTTGTATGGTCACTTCCAGAGGGTAGTGGTCAATGGCTCAGAGTCCCAACAGATATCACTGAAAAGTGTTTTCCCTCTGGGATCTGTATTGAGGCCAGTGTTATTTAACATATTCATTAATGACACAGACAAAGGGATAAAGTGCATCCTCAGCTCATGCACCAAGCTGAAGGGCTGTCCTTCAAGTGTGTGAAGGACAGGATCCAGAGGGACCTGGACAAGCTCAAGAAATGTGCCCATAGGAATTTCATGAGGTTTAACAAGTGCAAGGTACTGCCTATGGGTCAGGGCAAGCCCCACTATCAATACAGGCTGAGGAATGAACACATTGAGAGCAGTTCTGCTGAGAAGGACTTGGATGAGGTAGTGTATGAGTGACATGATTCTTGCCCTCTACTCTTCTCTGGTGAGACCCCCACCTCCAGTGCTGCATCCAGCTCAGGAGTCCCCAACACAGGAACCTCTTGGTGAGCATCCAGAAGAAGACCACAGAGTAGAGGGAGGGAGCACCTCTCTTTTCAGGAAAGGCTCACAGAATTGGGTTTGTTTGGCTGGGAAAAGAGAAGCCTAATGGGCAACCTAACTGCAGCCTTTCAGTATCTGAAGAAAGCCTACAAGAAAGATATAGAAGGACTTTCTACAAGAGCATGTAGTGACAGAACAAGAGGGAATGGCTTCAAACTAACAGAGTAGGTTTAGATTAGGTATTAGGAAAATATTCTTTACTATGAGGGTGATGAGGTAGCAGATGTTGCCCAGAGAAGCTGTGGATGCCCCATCCCTGAAAGGGTTGACATCTAGGTTGGGTGGGGCTCTCAGTAATTTGGTCTAGTGAAAGGTGTCCCTGCCCATCACAGGGATGTTGTAGTGAAATTATTTTTAATGTCCCTTCCAGCCCAAATGATTCCCTGATTCTATGACTCTATACAGCCTTCAAAAATGTAAGTATGAGACACAAAGAAGTGCATTTGTAAATCAGTTTAAAATGTATGTACACAACTGGTTTTATACCGTATTGATCCCGTTGAACAGATACAAGAAGAGTAAAAACTGAAATCAGAAAGATAGGAGCTTTTCATACTGATACGTTTCTTTTAGGTTACTTGTGGTACCATGGAAGGTTAAATGCTGACATATTTTTATATCTATTACTACCTTAAAACTTCAAAGACAATGACAACTTGTGTTATAAGGAATATTTGGTAACAATTTTATTTCAGCAAGTTGAAAAACCACTAAAAACATATATGCAGCACTACAAGGAGGAAAGAAATACATACTCATTGCTCTTTCATATTTTTTCTGAGATACAGTGGATACTGCTCACTCAGCAGCACTATAGTACAGTTGACTAGATGAACAAAAAGCCATCACCAATGCTGTCATTTAAATTTCTTACTCATTTTCTCTCTTTCTCTTTTCCCAGTTTCTGTTGAAAAGGCTTATACCCCATCTCCTAGACAACGGCAACCTGCAAATAAAAATTCTCAATGTCAAAAATGTCAGGGAAATGGAAAAAGAAAAATACTAGGGAGAAAACATCAGACATCCCTTATGAGAACCTATGGATACTGACTGGCTTTAGCAGCTACATTAAGAAAATGATGACACATGCTATAGCACTGCTCTTGCCACTTCTCCTTGGGCTGGAATGGTAAGATCTCATATCTGAGAAGGATTTAAGCTTGTTGCAGAATTTCTGAGAGAGAGAGGGCATGATTTATGTCTGGAGTGAGAATTGAGCTACTCCTCAGACTAGGGCCCTGATAAGCGGCCTTGGTGGGGCCTAGGAGTCTTTGACACAGTAAGAAATTAGTTGTCGTACAGTTAGAAATTATGTTAAGGTAACTACAAAGTAATGAGCTATCCGAGTGTGAATTAGACTACAGCTGCAGTGTGAAAAGCCTGACCACCTTAAAGCAAAGGTAAACAATGTTAGCTTGCCAATCAGAGTGCCTTTGTAAACTGTAAACTATATAGAAGTGTATATAAACTGCCATCTTCTCTGGAATAAAGGGAGAACATTGCATTAACCATAATGATTCGAAGTGAATTCTGTCCTGTCCAGCTTTCCTGTTTTATGGGGACTCTGAGTTCATAAGCTCATCTTCTGTAAGTGCCTGAGTAACCATTCAAATGAAAAAATGTGCTGTTCTCAAAGAATATTCAGAAACCCCTGCTTTTCAAAACAATCACAGATTTGTCTTGCTCAAGTCTGGTAATTCACGTAGGAAAGCCTCCATGGTCGCTACAATTTATTATACAAAATAAGAACTGACAGAAAAGGCAATTGTTTAAAACTGGGGATATTTAGTTTGCTGCATGCCAGAAGAGATCTGGCAAAACCCCACTTGTTCTGAATAAACAATTTCCTTAAAGAAATAGCTCTGTCTTCATGCTTCCCTGTGGACAAAATTGAAGTTTACATCATGTGGTGGAGAGCATTTATTATCGAGCCTTGAAATACTAGGATTAGGGCAGTATCTGTCAGTGAAATACTGTAGTCTGCAGGGAAGCTGGACTCCAGGATGGTTTGGATGAATGGAGACAAGAGATCTCTGAAGGCTGCTCTTAGAATATAAGGTTTATTATAGAGGGTGAAAGGTCTTGCTTGGAGCTGCCAGACGCAGCACGTGGCAAGGCCTGAGGGGATGGGGGAGGGGAGAGACAAGGGGATGCTCCAGGAGAGGGTGGAAGTTCCAAGAGAGGGGGAGTTCCAAGAGGGCATCTGGCCCCTCAGAGATCCCTTATCAGGGGGCTTTAAGGTGGGCTGGAATAAGACTTAGGCCAATGGGGTCACAGACACTTGATGTTTCAGGGGAGGGTTACAGGTGGGATGAATCATACATTTTGGGGGGTGAGATAGGACAGTCCATTTGACTTTTGCACCTATCTGTAGGTAAGGGCATTGTTCAAACTGTAGGGGGGATTGTTTTCATCCTGGCTGTACTATTGTAAATCTTTTACCAGGCAATTATATTTATTCACCCTCCCCAACAGTAGTCCATTGTGGGAGGGGGTCCCGGGGTTAGTCCACTTGGGATGCCCCGGAAGACCACTTCTGTATAATTTTCCCATCTCCCCCAATGCCAATCATTTATCCCTGTACATGTCCATCATCATTTGAGCTATCCCTTTGTTCTGGATGTTCCTTGTTTTTCATGTCTTCATTGGTTCCCCAGTGTTACTCACCCCTTCTCCCCTGTCCCCATTGGTCCTCACCCTGTTGGTCATCCCTACTGCTCCCCTGTATCGGTCCATTATTGGCTGGTTTGTACCCTGACCCTCCGATCCCATTTCTGTTATATACCTTACCCCGCCCTCGGGACCATGCGCTCAGAGCCCACTTCTTTCCTGAGAGGGTGTCTCCCTGCACCTCTGACTTCACTTTTCCCTCAATAAAACCCTCTGGAAAACACAGCAGCCTGAGCGTCAATCCCGCCTCTGTGGAAGCCTCGTTTTAGCTATCTGGCTCTGGCAGACCATACCCTCTGTGGCATTACCAGCTGGACACAGGTCCCAGCTGCCACAGTCCATTACTCTGAGACATCACTGGTGATGGAATTAATGACATTTGAGAAGATTTCATGAGTTCTGAATTCAAGCTGCGTCCAGAATTGTAACTTTCAGACTTGAAGTTGATACTAAATTTGGCCAGATAGAAATTTTCTAACACAGTTTTGAGTATTAAAAAGCAGTCATTCTTTATTGCAGTGAGCTGGTCATTCAGAGGATTCTTCCTCTAATCAAGTGTGCCAAGTGTCACGTGAACAGAGTTTTCATCATAGTTTTCATCATACACATTAATTACATATTCTTTAGCTCTTCCCATGTCCTTGATGCATATGTATTACTTTATTTTACATCATCCTACCCCTTATCAGAAGTCTCAGTATGGTTCATTTGGGATCTTTTTCAGTGGTCTTCAAAGTCCAGTGTCCTTTTGATAAACCGGTAGCTGTTTCTCAACCCACACTTTTGAGTAAGCACAGTATAATTGTTTTGTATAACTTCTACTTGGTCAGCCTCATAGAGATGAGCTGGCATCCTGGTTGTCTTGCATAATTTCTGTTTGCTTCAGTTACATTCTTTATCTACTTCTCCAAGGTTATGTTGCTCTGTTCTATTGTCCTTAGAGTAAAATGCTATTTTTTCCCACTGTCCTTTTCAAAGTGTTAAAATCTATTTACAAGATTGTGGACAGTGGCAGAACAAATTAAATACATGAGATAGAGCTGAATATAACAACCTTACTCTTTATTTGGATGCCTTACTATCTACACGTTTTCTGTTTTCAGATGGGACAGTGTTCTGTTCTTAGTAGCTGGTACAGTGCTGTATTTTGGATTCAGTATTTGAATAATGTTGATAATGCACTGATACTGCATGTTACTTGGTAAAGGTTACCCTGAGTCAAGGACTTTCCAGTTTCCTGTGTTCTGCCAGTGAGAAGCTGCCCAAGGAGCTGCAAGGAGCACGGCCAGGACAGCTGACCTGAGCTGACCAAATTGATATACCATACTGTAGAATGTCATGCTCAATATGTAAATTGGGGTTGTTTTTTTGGACTTTTTGTTTGTTTGTTTGTTTGGTTTTGGTTTTGGTTTGCTTGTTTGTTTCAATTATCAAATTGCTCTTAACACAGGAGATTTATCTTTTCTCTTCTATTCTTCTCCCCTTCAACATGAGAAGAAAGTGAAGATTGTGTGATCAGCTTGTGTGGTACTTACTTGTTGGCTGGGATTAGACCAAAACATCAGGTCTGACAGAGGAAGAGGAGAATCTGGTGGAAGACAATGCAGCAGTCCTGTCTTTATTTCTGAACAACTCTGTCTTTTCATAACAGATAACATAAAACAACACTATGGGGTTGAGTGTAGGATGATGCACAGACTAATCATGATCCGCCTGATAACAAGCACTGCATCCCTGTTGCTTCAAGTGACTTGTTCTACAGGTTTCCTAGGAGTTTTGAAAGTTGCTTTATTTGAAAGACTTCATATTTGTTATGTGTAACTCTTAGATTTCCTAAAGTTTTTTTATTCTGCCTTTGAATATTTACAAGTCCTGTTATCTTTACCAATATTAGTAAGAAGACCAAAATTTGATTGAGAACTCCTTGGTTATAACACTCCATATTCATGCAAATATTTATTCAATCCCCATACATTCAGAACTTCAAACATCTGCTGAGGCCATTGAAATTCACTTTTCTTCAGGGAATTATCTCTCTTAGGAGCTGTTAGCCAATTGTGCTTATTCAGATACAATGAAAACTTGCTCTCAATGCAACCTTAGCTTTTGGCATATCAAATAAAACTAAACTCTTTATTATATGTATTTTTAAATTCACTTTTCTTACCTTAACAAAAGAATACCAATGCCTTCAAATTGTCTGTAGGATAAAAATTGTGTTAGTGATGTGTGTGTGTGTGTGATGGGAAATAAAGGCATAGGGAGAGAAGGAATAGCTTCCCTTGATTTTTGTATGACTGTCCATGTCTCAGATGAAACATGTGATTCCCTAAGAGACTCAGTTTCACTAAAATGTTAATATATCTGGTCACAGTGTTTTTAACAACTACTGAATATCATAATAAACTGAGAACTGTAGACAGAAGCTATGTGGGTTACAAAGAAATACGTCTTGTAACTTAAAAATAACTCAACCAGTCAAAGAAATTTTGAAACAACAAACAAATTCTGAAAGCAAATACTTAATATCAGTGTAGTACTATCCCAGGCAGGAACTCATCTGAGGATGCTTTCTCACAGTCACTGTGAATTTCTGCCCTCCCTTCCTAGCAGAGCAACAACTCTCTCCTTACAGAATTGGCTGCAACCAAATTCTTCTTAGACCAACCACACAGACCACAGCTTTCATGATAAAGTTGCACTGTGCTGGGCAGCTTCTTTCTTTGTCCAGGGTAGGAAAGAGGCAGATCTGTATCTTCTAAGAGGAGATGGCATGCTTCACCTCCACTCTCAAGCTACAAAGATTTCACTATTATATGTAATTAAAAGGTCTGTCTTTTCAAATAGCACTGGGTATGATTATTTATGAAATAACTTTAAAATTGTGGTTGAAGAGATGAATTGCATGTTTAATTAGGTTAATAATGATTTTTAATAACTATTAAATTATAATAATAATTAGGTTTTTGCAAGGAGTAGGTATACTGAGGTCATTCACATACCTTCTTGCACACCTATTCGTATGCTAGCTTAATGTTTGAGAGATGTCTGTACTTGTGGTCTTTACTGAACATTTAAGTTTATCATGCAAGCCTAACAATAGTTTCTCTAAGCGAATACTTAATTTGTATGCTTAGAACTCAAGGAAATCATGGCTTTCAAAGTGAAGATACTCAAGGGAAGAATTAAAACTTCATTCAAATGACATGATCTAAAATTATGCTTCTGAATATCATACTTCAGGGTTTTGCATGAAAAAACCAGTGGAAAATATGGTCATCCAAAGCTACATATTTGTATTGTGATCAACCTAATTTTTGAAGGCCCAGGGCTTATCTCTAGGGTATGTAATAAAAGCTGTGAGTAAATGATATTGAGATTCTTATATGAAAGGATTTTTTAAAGACCTGAACCACAGAGCACTGATTGTTTATTCCCAGTTGTTTAGGCAGTTTTAAATCAGTTCTCAAATGAAAAAGAGAAGATCTAAGTAAACCTTTTAATAGTTTCCTGTTCCTGAATTCCTGTACCTGGAATTCAATATACATGACAGTTCTACTATTGAGAAAACATCTGTTTTGGTCCTTTCTTTGCCAATTCATATTTTCTGAGCCTTCAATTCCCTGCAAATCAGCTATGGGAAAAAAGACTGGCTAAGAGAAATAATACTAATTTTCTCTGCCTCCCAATTTATGTGAGAGAATGCAGTTTTCATGTCTTCCTTGGCACACCATCATAGCAATTTTTCCAGGCACCTGCTATCATATGCTTTGCTCAGTGAAATTATTCTGTCTTCATGCATTCAATTACACTCATTCTACTCATAAATAATCTAAAATAAATTGCAGATGGTACATGTTGACTCAAATTAGGTGAATCTCTCCAATATATAGTTTTTAAGATGTTTGGGTTTTGTCCTTCTTTCACAGAGAAAAGGTGCAAGAATAAGTATAGGCTGATATAAATGTTGGCTACAGGAATGTGGAATAATCATGAGTAGATTAATGCACAATGAAGACATGCCTGGAGGCTGTTTTAACTTGAACAGTTGATATAAGCCTTTTTGCTTCTTTTCACGTGTATACAATTTTAAGAATAAAATTATGTATCTGAACTATCTGTAGTATTTTAAAAGTGTCCAATGAAAAAAGCTGAGTGTATACAAATACATACATAAGAGCTTCCACAGCAATATTCTTCTTAGGAGAAGAAACAACCATATTAAGAAAAACATATGGAGAACCCTGAAATAGAAGGTTTGTTAGCGTTCGGAAACACACATAATCACGGGGTATGATTATATGCAGGTGCTTTTATTAAGAGATCTGGGAGTTTGGGTACAAACCCAAATCTGACTCCGACATGGCTTTTGAGCTGAACGTATTTTATATTCTATCGTTATATAACTTACACATTAATTATTAAACTTACATTGTTCTAGTGTATACATTGACATGAGTTTATCATGATCTTTCTTAGGTCCATGACCACAGTTTCACACGATTATTCTTTCTGATTAAACAGTAATTATATTTAATTACTAAACAATCGTCACATCTAACAATTATATCAATTATCATGTACTAGCTACATAGTGCAGTACTAGTTCTTCATGTGCTAAAGGTTTTTTTTTTTTTCCAGGGCCTACTAAGCTTTTTTTCCTGTTTACCCTAAATCCCCATGATTTTAAAACCCTTTTACTATCAGGTTCATATGAATTTTAGAGGATACTAGATAATTTCATTAAATAGTATTATTCCCCCACTTTGAAATATCTTTGAATTTCATTGGCTTCTTTTCTGGATGCTTATAAAAGCAGAGATATTGCTGTTTTAGGGTGGGGTGGTTTTTTGAGGGTTTTTGTTGTTGTTTTTGGTTTTTTTCTTTTTTGTTTTTGTTTTAAAGAAAGACTACTGATAGAAAGTGACTACTTAAATTAAAGTGCTTGCCAATTGTAATTATGTTTCTTGATGTAAGTTCATTCAGTGACATTACATACAGCCACATGATTAAACAGTTTTCCCCAGCTTCATCATACAACAGTCATGGAGAGGTTGTCATCAACCACTTAAGGATTGCCTTAAGGATTTGTTTTAGGCCAGACAATATTAGTTAATCATAATATAGGTGGTAAAGTTCCCTACAGACAGTAAGGTGAAACCTTTTCTAACAAAACAATAAGGCACCAATGATTAGTTAAAATTGAGACATGAGAGGCAACAGAAATTTATTAATAAAAGAGCAAAGCTCTTACTAATATTTTGCAGACAAAATTTTCTTTGAAGTTATGATTCCAGACATATCAGTTAAGGTTAATTTGGGCTGTTTTCAAGAGATATTGTGCAGTGGGTTTATCTTGGCTGGCTGCCCGATATCTACACAGTTGCTCTCTCACTCCTCCTCTACAAGAGGACAGGGGGAGAAATGAGAAAAACAAAAGCTTGCGGGTCAAGATAAGGACAAGGAAATCAAGTATCAAATACCATCATGAGTAAACCAGATTCAACTTGGGGAAAGTTAATTTATCACCTATAAAAATAGAGTTTAAAAGTTTTAGGCTGGAAGGGATCTTCAAAAATCATCTAGTCCAGTTCCCTTGCCATAGGGCATTCTTCATTAGACCAGGCTCCTCAAAGTCCCATTCAACGTTACCTTGAACACTTTTAGGTATGGAGCATCTGCTCTCTGGGCAGCCTGTGCCAGTGTCTCACCACCATCATCATAAAAACAATTTATATCAAATCTTAATTTACTCTCTTGTATTTTAAAATAATTTTTCCTCCTCTTGCCCCTGTGAAAAGCCTCTTGCCGACTTTCTTGCAACACCCTTTAGGGGCCCCTTATAAAAAGGTTGCAATAAGTGTTGTACTATGACAAAAAAACAGGGCAACAAAATAAGGTCTCCCAAAAACTCTCATCTCTAGGCTGAACAACCCAAACTTTCTCAGATTTTCTTCACAAAAGGTATTCCAACTCTCCGATTATTTTTGTAGCCCATCTCTAGATCTGCTTCTAGTAGGTCTGTGTCTTTCCTATGCTGGGGACCCCAGAGCTGGATGCAGTACTCCAAGACGGGTCTCTTCAGAGCAGAATAGAGAGGGAGAACCACCTGCCTGTACCTGCTGGGCAAGCTTCTTTCTATGCAACCCAGGCGACCATTGACTTCCTGGGTTGCAAGTGCAGATTGCCAGCATATGTCCAGTTTTACATCACCAATATTTTCAAATTGTCTTCTGTAAGGCCGCTCTCAATCCATTCACCCCCCAGTATTGATACTGAGTTTTTCCTTGACCCACATGCAGGGCATTTCACTTGTTAAATTTCATGGTGTTCAGTTGGGCTCATTCCTTAAACTTGTCAAGATCCCACTGGATGAAATCCATCACCTTAAGGAAATCAGCTTCATCACCTAGCTCAGTTGCTCTCTGCCACTCCTGCCTACTCACACTTTTCACTTGCTCACTCCACTGTGGTGGATTACAGTCCATCAGGACAAATATACCCCAGTGTGGACTCCTCCTGGGCTGCAGGTCTCTTAATGACTATCTGAATAAATGAATCATTTACGTCTGGAGGAGAGACTACTTATGCTAGAAATGGTAACCCCTTGATCTAAGATCAACAATCCCCTTTTTCTCACTCAAATACTTTTAAGTTGTCTACTATGCACAAGCAGAAGCCTGTACTTTAATACTAGGTGGAGGAAAGAGGTGCATGTATACTACCTAAAACAAGTGCCTACTTTAGCAACCAAATATCTTCCAGCACTTCAGAGAGTGAGATTTCTATCTCCATGAAGTTACTTAGAGCCCTAGAAAGAGTCAACAGCTAGTTTTGCAACAGTGGTGCCTTCAAACAAATTCAGTAGACATCTACCTCTTTCTTCTGAGCACCCTGCGATCCTACATTTCTAGATTTAGACGTTTATTTAAATTCCTAAAGCTGGTAGTGGGAAATCATCTGCTCCTTTTGGAATAGTGGAGACAGAAATATTGTTTTATGTACAAATAACTTAATGTTTCTTTTACTTTTTTCTCACAATATATACTGATGCATGTTCAACAAAATTTCTGAATTTGAGAATTTGAAAGGTGCTTGAATTTTTTTCCCCTTCAATTTATTATCGTAGAGTATAAATCAGCCTTTAAAGGAGAAATTGGTTTCTCTTAAAAATAATTTTTTTTTGTGTAATTATGAGCAATAAAAATCATACTGTCATAGTGAGAATAAAATTGCAGCAGTAGTCAGGCTGGCAAAGGAATAAATTAGAAAACGCATCTTAATACATAAGGACATTATTCAAATAATTCATACAAGTAATATAAGAGGATGTTGACTGCAATTAAGTATCACAACAATGAGTAATAGGATTTAGATGCTGCAGAAAAAGCACAATCTTTTAGAGCTAATGTAAACATTTCACTAGATGCTGTCAGACTACTACTGCTTTTATTTTCAATTTTAATACACAAAGTAATTGAAATAATTCAAAAGCATGGATGAAAGTACAAACCATACACATATAGAATCACAGAATCATAGAATGCTTTGGATTGGAAGGGACCTTAAAGATCATCTAGTTTCAACACCCCTGCCATAGGCACGAACAATAATTGAGAAAAGTCTGAAAATATGGTTTGACCCTAATGCTCAAACTGGGTTTTTTTGTTGACACAGGTGGTGCAACCTGAATAAAGAGAAAAAAATGTGTACAGGGAAACTGTGAAAGTTTCCCAGTGAAAATTTCTGTGGCAAGTTTGACTAATTGTTTTCTTATAGTTACTTGAATCAGGACTCTGAGGTAAGTAAACACAGCCAGATTGTCATTGATTCTGCCTCCTTATGTTCAGAATAGCTAAAGACATTTGATTTCATGTAAGATTTTTGCTCTTCAGTATCAATATTTATTCACATGCACAACTCAGTCTTTCCAGCACAAATGAGGGCTTTGCAACTCAATCTGCTGAATGTTGTTCAAGGAAAATGACAAGATAACACATCTTTTTATGGTTTTACTTTGTATGTATTTACGTCACTGAAAGTATATTATAGAGGTATTTGCAGAAAATGTATCCTGATCAAAGCATGTTAGTTTGAAAAAAATTTTGAAAGCATTTACAGGGAAAAAGCAAAACACAATAGTTATTTCTAGCTCCAGCAAAGTTCAGTGCTAAGTGTGCCTTACTAGGTAAGAAGGATAAAATTCTAAAACTGTCATTCTGACATGCCATTTATAAAGTCTTTAAAACACATATTTTATTCATAATTTGTAACAGATTTAGATGTGCCTAGTATACCCAAGATATTCCTACTGTATATTCCTCATGTAATTTAAGGATATGGTTAGCTCCATGCATCTGTTCCATCAAAAGTTTTTCGCCTTAAAGACAGGAAATTGCACACTACAGTCTGAAATAGGAAATAAACTGAAAGCTAAAGACATTGAACAGGGCGCAAAAGGAAAGGAAAGAGCTGTTGGTAATTTTGTCCTACATAAACTCTTAGCCATCATCAAGGTGAAATATGTGTAAAACTTTGTTCACCAGCGAACTGGTGATGTCAAGTGCACAGCAGTTTTTGTGATTGCAAGTCTCTTTGTGTTTCCATGGTCAGCTAAAAAAGAGAAAAACTACCATTATGTGCAATTTTGATTTTTTTGAATTAACACAAGACGTGATGTTCTTTATGTAAGAGGATACCTTCTCCTACTTTAGGCCTTAGAAAAATAATGAACAAACCAAAATACCTGTGGTTACTGCTCTGAACATGATACATATACATTTCTCTGTGTGTTTCTGGAGCTCCACTAATTCTTTTCTCACTTGCGCCCTTCTGGTGATTTTATTGTCAGGTTCAAAATACCTATTTTTGTAAAACTCTGTTACTTTATAAATAGTCTAGCCCATATATAAGAAACAACCTTGTAATCTGGAGGACTAAAAACTCTCAAATCTCACAGTTCCAAAGCAGAACTTTATAAAAATTAAGTCTCGTCTCCTTAGTTTTGTATGAAAACTATATCATGAAAGTGCTCAATAGCATATGAAAGAAATATGCAGTTTTAAAAACAAATGGGATTTTGCTTGCAATGTGTTTCACAATCAGCCTTTATAG